CAATTTCCAGTCCATTTCTCTTTAGAAGGCCATCTAACAGCCATGGCCAAGGAGTCCTTTCTTTCCTCCCTGTTGTCACATATCTACTCCACTGCTACCCATATCTACCCCCTGAAGGGGTCACACTGGCCCTTCCCCTGACTTCAGCCTCACCTGCAGGAGCAGTTCCCTTAAGCGCTGCAGCTGGGACTCTAGCTGCTTGTTGTGGTCTTCAAGGATCTGCATACGTGTCTCCAGGCGGCTCTTGTGCTGCCGAAGGATCCGTGCCTCAGCCAGAAGCTCCTCATTGCGGTGGTCCTGTGCCACCTCAGCAGAGCCCTCAGCCAGGGTGGGTGCCTCAGCAGCCTCCTCATGCTGCCACTTCAGGCGCCTCAGCTCTCCCTGGAGAATCCTGCCACGGACAAAGAAGCCAAGATCTATGGCCCTAATGAGTTCTTGACTATCCTGGTCCCAAATGATCCCTCATATCTGGGTGTGAGCAATACTTTGGCTCTCCCATCCCCACCACCACCCCAGCCGTGTTCTTGCTTGAATGGCTATATCCCCTTCCTTTCCAGCACATATGCCATTTATTCTGCCATCCTTGGGCCTCAGAGCAGAGAGAGCTATTATTTCATATAACAAATCTCAGGGCTTTAATGTGCTACTTAGGTGATTGAGTCTAACCTTAAAAATCAGGCAGAAATACAGCCTGCAAAAAATGAGGCATTATAGCCACTGACTCACCTTCTGCGTTTTTAGATATTTAGAAGACATAACATAAACAAAATATCACCCATCTTCCCTCTTTTGTCAACTACCCTACTCTTTGACCTACTTTGAACACCCATGTTGAGTCATCAAGAACACAGATTCCAAAGAGATCATCTGCTTTGGGGACATTACTTTTTTTTGGCAACAGAATTATTTTCTCCCCATTGTTTCCCAGGGCCTACTAACTGCTGCTCTTATGCAGTGCTTCTCAAACTATCCATAGTGAAGACTTATGGGGTGATAATTTTGTAAGTTACATGAATATCTAATCACTATGTCATACACCTGAAACTAATATAATATTTTGTCAACTGTAATTGAAAAAAAATTAAACAAAAAATAACTATCCATAGTGAAACACCAGGGGGATTTTTCAATCCACTGTGGACCAATATGTGGTCTGAATGTGCATGGCTAGTACACAGCTCACACCACACATGATTTGCCACACAAGTTCAACAACAAAGTGATCTATCCCCTATTCAATGAACATAAATCCACTAAGTATGTGCTGAGATGTCATGGCAATGTCAATAAGCATTTCTAAAAACTTACTCTCTATTTCTATATTTATCTTGTTTTGAACCAGTAACAAACACCTTGCAGACTGGCCCTGTTCTAAGGACTTGCTACTACAAGTACAGTCTGTGGACCAGTGACATGGGCACACCTGGGAGCTGGTTAGAAACGGAGGAACTAAGGCCCCTACCCAAACCTGTAAATCAAAATCTGCACCTTACCGAGCTCTCTAAATGACTTGTATGCTCACTATTGTTTGAGAAGCACTGTTCTATGGATTCTACTGCATGCCCCCAAAGTGGCTTGGACCATCCTCTGGCCCCTGCTGCCATAAATACTTTATGGAGTTAAGGCCATTCCTGTCATCTTCTTCACCTTCGCTCTTCCAGTCCTCAAATGTGCTATGCAGTGTCACTTTTCTCTTCTTTTATTACTTTAACTTAGTGCTAGGTATCTCTTTCCAATCCAACCCTGAAAATTCCCTGAGGGCAGAGACATGTATACTCTCTGTGTTTGTATTCTTTCTGCTTGCATCTAGTGGGTACTTGAAAATATTTGGGTTGAGTTAAAGGGGTAAAACAGTTAACTGCCACGCATCCAAAGATGCTTTTATCTCATTTGCGTCTATAGATGCTTATGGTGTACAAAGGGTTAAAATAATTACTAGACTAGCTTGCACTTATTGAATACTTACTCTAAACTAGGCACTGGCTAACACATTATATGCCTGATCATTTGATCTTCCCAAGTGCCCCTAGGAGGGAGGTACTATTACCAATAGTCCCATTTTACAGATGAGGAAATGGAAGGTCACAGAATATAACTTGTTTGAGGTCATATAGGTAGGATGTAGAAGTGCCAGGACTTGCAAGCTGCCTGACTCTAGAATCCACATAGATCTGTGTCATAGCCACACCCACCGGTTCTCATCCTCTAAGTGGGCCAGGACCTTCTCTAGCTCCCCCTTGCTTTCTGTGGCCATGCTGCATGGAACCTGCTGTCCGAAGCCTGTCTCCCGGTCTGTAATGGGGCTGGAGTGCCGCAACAGGTACTGATCCTCGTCTCTGCATGGGTGTGGGGAGAGGAAAGGAGATGGCTGGGCACTGAAACAGCTCAGGGCATGAGTTCTCAGCTCCCAGTTCAGGCCTCTGGAAATGCATGCTGAAGGATTCCATTCTAAGTCATGTAGAAAAGGAAAAGACTATGTATTTAGGTTTATGAGGAAAGGAAGTATTCAAAGGTGGCAGAGGTCATGATTGGTATATATTAGGACAGAGTGTTTCCAGTATGCTGGGGCTTGTGGATTCTTAAAGCCCTATGGGAAATGATTCCCTGTTTGTGCTATTCTTCTACCCCACCTTCCCTTCACTTCCCCATCCCCAGAAGGATCACTGGCTGCCTTAGTCCCAGTCATTGCCAGATTGATCCATGTAGTTAGCAGCTCCTAGGCCCTCTGAGCAAGCCAGGTACCTCCCTAGAGATGCAGGGCCTGTTCTTGGGGCTATAGCGCCAGGGAGTATCTCTGGCCACACTTCAGTCACGTCCCTGGTATCTCCCAGGGTTGCTGTGGCACTATCTGGGCCTTCGGCATCCTGAGCATAAGGTAATGGCTCATTTCTGCCAAGTTAGATGAAAACAGTCTTCATTCTCAAAGCTGGGATAAAAGGATGGGATCGTGCAACAGAAAAGGATCTGGGCAGATGGCAGGGAGGTAGTTCATCATTCACCCCCACCCCCGCCCCGCTCAGTTAATAGAGGGCAGACTGCTTCTCTTTCTAAACTCTGTGCTCAGAAAGCAGTCTTCCTTCCTTAGGGTATCAAATACCCTAACCACCATCCCCCCTCCCCTGGAGGATATACCCTTCCCAAGTAAATGGTGGCAGAAGGATCTTAAAGAGAGCTAGCTATTCCTGGAAAAGGAGCAGCTGTGAAAACTCACATGCTGTCATCTGGGGACAGGCTGTCATTAAAGAAGGAGCAATTTTGATTTTCCATCTCAGCAAGCCTGGGAAAAAAAGAGGAGAAACAGAAGGGAAAACAGGATGTGGGGCCTGCTTTCATCTCAAGCATTCTAATCCCACAATAGAATATTAGTTTTGGGGGCTGTCCCAACCACACCCAAGTGTTGGGACTCGCTGGTTGCCACATACCCCACTGTGCACACACACCCCGGCCCTGACTCCTTTCTCTTTGCCCCAACCGAAAACCCCTTCCCCATGAGATTCCTTATAATCCCTGTCCCCCAAACCTGGTGGTACCTGCTGGCGAAATGCTCAATGCGGGAGTGTGTGTCAGCATGTGGCAACCTTGGGGAAGAAGCCGGCCTAGAAGAAAGCAGCAAAGACTCAGAGGACCAAAGACTGAGCAGCTGGGCAACCTGTTTCTTCACCCCCTCCCCCAATTAGTGAGATGGGAAAGAGATGATGGGAACAGGATACAGAGACTGGATTTACAGGGTCTAGTTCTTAGGCAGGATTCCTAGTCAGGCACAAGTTGAACTGCTCTGTCACTAGTTGGGTTTGCCCTGGAGCATTCCCCTAGCCCACATGGCACTCTTCCCATTCTTAAACCCAGGCTCAGTGAGGCTGTCCACAGTTCCCACCAGCCACTGGTACTCACGTGTCACTGTACTCGGCCTCCAGCACTGATTGCACAGGCAGATAACCTCGCTGAGGGTGTTTGCTGAAATAATGCTTTGAGCGGAATTTGTTCTTTAAGGTTGTGGCAAAGTCTCTCATATTCTCACTGGATGTGGTCTGAGGGGACAGAGGGGAAAAGGACTTACCTTAAAGGCTTTGGGACATGATGGGGTAGGTGTGGCTGCTCCCCTAGAGCAGGGAACGTGACTGGTCCTCCACTCTTGTTCATGCCTACCACACCCCACTCCTAGAAAAATATCTAGGAAGACACATGCCCAACTATGAACACTGGTTGTCTCTGAGAATTTGGACCATAGGGGTGGGGACCAGGCTGAGGAGAGAGAAGGACTTTCATTTTATACTTTAAACACCTCTATATAATTTGAATCTTTTACAATGAACATATATTCATTAATTTTAAAGTATCATTTGCAAAAATTCTAGGGACATAGATGAACAGGAGGTAGAGGATTATCAGTATACCATCTTGAGCCAGTTTTCCATGCATAACTTTTATAATATTTACTTATCCCACTGAGTCGCACATGTTTCTGTGCCAACAAAATTTGGAGAAGAGATGATAGCTTGGAGAGATGGATTATAGGAAAACAGGTTGAAAAATGGGAGGTATGGTGGGAGAGAGCAGTGGGGGAATATAAGCAGCCCAGACATATGGTTGGGACTTTGGGAGTATCTATGAAATGGAATGAAATAAACGAGTTGAGGGAGCAGAGTCAGCTCAAGCAGCTAAGTCTGGAGCTGTGGATCCTGAGCACAGTGGAGAAATTGCGTGGCTGGAGTCCAAGGATGTTGACCAATGTGGACTCAGGTGGCTATGAAGGGCACAGCTCCCAATGAAAACCAAGTGTAATTGGAGACCCAGGTAAAGAACATACCTCCCCTGCCCCCAAGAGACTAAGTAATTAATTTGAGGACAAACTTTGGTATTAACTAGAGAGATGGAAGCAATGACAAAGTAGCAGGTGAAGACCTGGTGACAGGAGCAATATAGGAAACTAGGCAGGAAAAACTAAAGTGAGCAACAGAAGCTTGTTGCCTGGAACTGTCTTACACTATTTTTCCTGAAACTTTTCTCTGCAGGAAAACAGTGCCTTTTAAATGGCTGAGAGTGTCCTGGGCTCCTATACCCAGCTGTGGCCCTGGTGATGGAGAAGCTCTGCTGGAAGAACATAGAGGCCTGAATCCCCCAAACTGGTGAATCATCAGAACTGCTGGGAGAATGTTCCCCACAGGAGAGCAGAATACAGTTAGTCAGTGCTTGGCCAAGTAGATCAAGGGCTCAGAATCTGAGAGCTGTCTCCCCCTCCCGCTTGGCCCAGAGGCTCCATACCGGGGTGTAATACTCCATGATGGGGTAGTGCAGCTTGTTGCCTTTGCTGGCCTTGCCTGTCAAGAAGCAGGTCTGGCAGATGTCCACGTTAAATTGTTTCAGACTCCGGTACCTTGGGGAGATGAGAGGTTGTAGGGCAGAGTATCTAGTGGACTATAGTGACCTCCCCATTCCCCTAACATCCAAATACACACACATCAGGAGGGGGTAGAGCATGGAGCCATAATATGCTCAACCTCCTATACATAGCAGTGGAGTCCTTACTAAATGACTAGCCTTATTCTAGAGAACATAAGTCTCCATCAAATTACATGCTCAGACTCCTAGGAAGTGTAGGAAATAGCACTGTCTCACCATCCTTTTTAAAGGGAAGGGGGGTGCAGGTATAAATTGCTCACAATAGCAAATAGCTTTCTAAAGAAGGATCACCCAAAAAAAGTCCAGTCTCACCACCTACATTGGAGAAGTCACTCTTCCCATATGGAGGCCACTTATTCTACCAGCCCTGGGTAAGTTAGCTAAAAATCATTCCCAAAAGTTGTTTTTAAATAATAAGCCCTATTATTACCCAATGTAGACTAGCCCTTCAAATCCAGTTCCAAAGCCTGGCTGAGCTGCCCAGGCCTGGTAGTATATAGAATGGTGAAATGCCTAGACTTTGAGAAGTCAGAGGAGCCAACATCTGGTCCTAGATCTATACTAACCAGCTGTGTGAACTTGGGCAAGTCACATTCTACCTCTTTGCCTCATTTGCTTATAAAAACACTGGGTGGTTGTAAAGGGGGTATGTATCAGTGCTTTGAAAAGTCAAAAAACTGAGTGTTGTATGATGAAAGTCATTTTCAGGATCGTGGCTATTTTTGTGGAAGGGGAATGGGAATGTAATCAGGAGAACTTAAAATGTACTGCAATAATTTTTTATTCCTTACGCTTGGTGGTGGGTAAGCGCTGTGGGATGCTGGAGCTGGTTCACAACAGCTCACAAGAGCCAACTGTTACAATTTCAAGGATTTTCTAAGCTGGTTGTTAAATACAGCCATTATTAAAAAAATAAATTCTATAAACTCACAATTAAGTAAATGACATTAAAAACTGAACTAATAAATACTCAAAACTCATGAGGTTGTTTATGTCTATTGGATTTGCATGGTGGAAATACTATAAATAGTGTGCAACTGTGCATCTCTCCCAACCTCCTGTGGGTAGCTAGACATCGGCCACAGTGGGAGTATTTACATCATGGAAATTAGCAAATGCTAAAAATTAGGTTCCTTTCTTGCTTTCTGTAGAGTCAGTTGTGAGCCATTTGCCAGCATACCATTTGGTACATAGATGTTCTTATGTCAGGATGCTGGGGCTTCTGAGTTCTACTTAATGCTCCCTAGGAAACCACAAGCAAATTACTTCCCTTTCTGTGCTGTTCCCTCACCCACGCCCTTTGGCTTCTCTGTACATTTTTGTAGGTCTGGAATATTTCACAATACAATTAAAACAAAAGAAAATATTTCCGATTTTTTAAAATGTTAAATGTTGTGCAATAGAATTACAATACATACCAATGTACACTAGATTAGCTGTAATTATATAATTATGCAATACATTTTTAATATATGATTTATTTGCAACATGGCCTATTTACAATTATTGTCATTCCATCAGGTACTGTTTTCCCTACCTGAAGCCCTTGATGGGGCACTGCCTACAGATAGAGCACTTGGTCTGATGCTTCACTTGCTCAGCAATGGTGACCCGATGCAGAACAGCCAGCCACACCATGGATTGGGGCTCTAAGTTGACCCATTCCAAGAACTGTGAAGCTTCAATGACTGGCTTCCCAGTGCTCTAGAGAAACAAGAAGTCCAATGGCAATGACTGAGGCCCAAAGTGTCCCTAGAATGGCAGCCCTCCCCAAAGTGTCCCTAGAATGGCAGCCCTCCCCAAAGTGTCCCTAGAATGGCAGCCCTCAGAGGAGCAGGATAACTAGCAAGGCCTGGGTTGGCCTAGTCTCCAGAGCTGATTACCTCTGTCCTGTTCTAGTAGAGCTGACACCCTCACTGGCAGGACTCTGACCCTAAAAGCCCAGAGAACCCTCTGCCCTGTTGTTCCATCCCAACAAACTCCCTTATATCTGAGTAGTTCAGATCAAAAGCTTAGCTCTTAGTCTTCCCTCCCTTCTTTCTACCGCCCCCCTCATAAGCCCTCCCTTCTACCCTCCCAAGTTCCATACTCACAAAACGGAAGCAGCTACGGACACTGGGCTCCACATTGCTGCCCCCAAACGCTGCCACTTCCCCCAGCTGACGGGGCACCTGAATGGCCTCATGAAGCAGGACACCAAGGTGGCGTTGGTCACACTGGCTGCCTGAGTTGGCTACTTGGCTGAAGAGGTCTGCTGGCCCCACCATAAGTCATGGCCAACCCGATGCAGGAATGGCCAGAGAATGAGCAAGGAGAGAGCAGAAAAAGACAGAAATACCTAGAGGCCCATCCCTGACCTCCTAGAAGCTCGAGTTCTAAAAATAGCATTCTCTGAATTCAGAGAGTAAAAGTGAGACAGGCAAAAGAGAGAGTACATCAGAAAGAGAGGGTATAGAGATGAAGACAGAGAGCAAGCTGTGTGAGAGCAGTGCCAGACACAGATATAATACTGTTGGGAAAACAGATTCTCAAGAAGCAAGATGAGGGTGTATGGGGCTCAGTTGTGCCTGAACATGAGTTACAGCTAGTCTTCCCTAGCTTATGTAGTCTGATATTCCAGTATTCTCTCAATTATCCACACAACTGGGAAGAAACACTGGCATGGATCATCTAAAAAGAGGAGCTAATTCAAAGCATTTGATCATTTAAGAATTATCTCTAAGTGATTGTGGAATAGACTGTGGTACTTATACTTGAATACGAACTATATCTGCCCTTGTGGAACTCTCCTATTCCACCACCCCCTTAGAAAACCTCCTCCAAATATTATTGTCTGTCTGCTTCATACCTCACCTAAGGCTTAGAAAACACACAAACATGGAAGACAAGGGCCTGGATTTTCATAATGGATCCATTACTGGCTAGCTTGCACAACCTTAGGTAAGTCATGAAACTATACTGAAGTTTTCTTACTTGTAAAATGAAGATAAATAATCATTGTCCACCAACTCAAAGTAATGTTGGGAGAAATAAGTAATACAGCTATGGACATGCTCTGAAAGGTTTCCTTCCTTGTAAAGTTTTCCCAGACTGCTGTCATTTCTCCTCTGTGACATAATATAGCACATATCCTTTACCATTCTGATTAGTCTAATTAACATTGTAAAATTGCTTTCTATGTACCTTTGTCTCCTCCTCTGGACTGTAAACCACTTGAAGTAGGGACCATGTTTAATTGAACCTAGCACTCACCACATTTAGTACAGTGGTTAATACACCATAAGCACTTGACAACTAAAGATGCTGCTATAGAAAAGTACAAAAATGTTGTACAAAAGATGAAAGATGGAGGAGAAGACAAAGGTACTATACACCAGAGAGGTTAAAAAATACAGAATTACATACTGTGCACTGCCCAATAATGGGGATTATTGCACCCTGCCCACGCAATCCACATAGAAAGTCTTCAGTAGAATGTGTGACATGGCTTGAGCTCCAGACTAGAGAGGGCTAAGCCTTATAGACTATAGAGAAATATAACTATAAAGTCCGGGCTCTGGGTACCCCAGGATGCTAACTCAGATCCTGGTAAAGTAATTACATCAGATTAGAAGAAACCAGACCCACTGGAGTGATACTGGCAATAAAAATAGGCCTAGGCCCATCTTGGTCTTTGGCTATTGTAGGTTCTTTGCAACAGCCTGGCCCAGAAAGTATCACAAGGTAGCCTGAGTAGTCCTATGCTAAGTCATAAGACCTACCTTCTGCTTGTCTTATACCATCTCTCCTCCCGCCACACCTCTCCCTCCACCCTACTCCACTTCTAGAATTTGGAGTTGTACTCACACTCCAGTTTTTCCTTCACTTCTGTGCCACACAGGCATGCAATGCCAGTCTTAAAGGACAATGCCCGCATCTTTCCACTGCGACCACTAGGTTTAAAAGAAGAGACTGAGAACATGAATATATGTAAAGGGTTAACATCTTGGCAGTCATTTCCCTCACAGAGTTGACTTCAGTAGGGCTCTGTGCCAACCATGTCCCAAGCTGAGTTGGGTCCAAGTCCACCATGGGAGAAACCCCTTCCCACCAGGTCCACTCTAGATGTCCCATTGAATTTCATCCTGGAGACTGCCAGGATTTTCAGTGCTTACCTATCAAAAACATTGAGGAGCCAATTGAGGCTCATGTCCACACAGAGTGGCACGTTGACCAGGATGCCTCTTTCCTCCTCCAGCCGTTCATATAAGGCAGTCAGGCAGTGAATGACCTCCACCACATCCATCACATGCTCACTGGCCTGAAGATCATGCTCATTAAAGATCTCCAAAGCTGTGGTTAAAGTGACCAGGTCCACTGAGAAAGAAAGGAGAGGGGGAGAAAATATAGCTAAAAGAAGAACCCCAGGGGCTAGATAAGGAGATAAGGCAACCAGCTTCACCAAATTTAACTCAATTTCCAGACAAACCATTTGTGAGAATGACACAGCTTGCTCTTTACCAAGACACTCATTAGAAGGAAGGGGAAAGCAGCAAACCCCCCTAAATTAACCCAAAATGTTTCTATACCCATATGTTCTTTGACATCAGTTTCAAGATGGTATGATATGAATAAACTCATATTTACAAATCCATTTTGTATTTTGTTGGATAAATCCATTTTAAATTTCTCTGTCTTTATACATATTTTATCTGTAAATAGATTTGTCCATAGATTTTGTCCTGAGAACCTAGTCACCAGTTATGAAGGCTCAAGTGTGCTTGGGTAAGGGTAACATACCTCAGGAGAACTTTATAATTACCCCCAATGTTGGAAGCAGCCTAGCCAGAGGTGCCAGGAAGATTGAATAAGCAGTTTTTCTGAGAAAGGCCAGAAAGCACATTATATCTGCAACCATGTTGTCCTCTAACCACTGGCATCTGCTTCAACAGATCTGCTACTACATTCAATAACCCCAAAATGAAAAAAGAATGCATGCCCCACACTGGCCAGTGTGGTTCAGTCGGTTGAGGATCATCCCAAGCACTGAGAGGTCGCAGGTTTGAATCCTGGTCAGGGCACATGCCGAGTTGCTGGCTCAATCCCCAGTAGGGGGTGTGAAGGAGGAAGCTCATCAATTATTCTCTCTAATACAGGGGTTCTCAACTTGTGGGTTGCAACCCCTTTGGCTCACCCTCCCTCCCCTCCCCTCCTCTCCTCCACCCCCCTATCTCTAAAACCAATAAAGCATATTTTTTTTAAAAAGAATACAAGCCCTCAGTGGTTCCAAACCATCATCTGGGATACTTCCTGCCATAAAACAATTGCTTGATTATCCATGTTGGACAGGGAAGAAGGGACAAGGAAGAGGATAGCTGTGGGTTAATTTGGAAACAAGTCTGGGACTTTGGGAGAAGAGAAGGGCCCTGGAAGAGCAGGTGTCAACAGCCAGGATATCCCAGCCTTTGGAGAGTTCCCACCAAGTCAATCAACAACCCTGCCCAAGGTAGGATGAAAGTGGGAAACAGACCACAGATGAAGAAGGGAAGAGGCAGAGGGGGAAGGCCATAATGAAGTGTGATGGGAGACTTACAGCGTAGTGCCTTTTGAACTCTGCGTAGCTTCATGGCAGTGCGGTAAGCTGAGAACTTAATGTTGTTCAGATCAGCTGCAGAGAATGAAAAGAGATCTACTCAGATCAGGGAAATGCAAATTAAAACCACAACAAGATACCATTACACACCCACCAGATTGGCAAAAGATACAAGTCTGACAATAACAAGTGTTATCAAAGATGTGGATGAATAACTGCTGGTAGAAGTGTAAACTGAATACAATGTGGTATTAGCCAGTAAAATTGAACGTTCAGGTCTCCTACAACCCAGCCTGTTATATATCCAGATCAGTGATTTTCAAGTGTTTTTTGCCCAAGACACACAGTAAGAAATTCATTTTACATCATGATCCAATATATCTACATTCATGTGAGTATGTATAAACAACTGAACCAAACATTTCAGGAAATAATACCTTACTAGATTTTACAAAGTAAAAACATAAAATTAATATCAAATAAGACTCTTATTAAAGATTTGTAGCACTTTCTTTCATATTTCCTAGTTTGTTTCAATTTTTAAAATGCTTGTCATAACACTGAAACAATATTAAACCTGTAGTCTGAAAAACACACATATGTGTACCAGAAGACATTCACAAGAGCTCTTCAGCAGCACTGTTCTTATTAACTCCAAACCGTAAACAAGCCAAATGTCTATCAAAAATAGACTAGATAAAGAAACTGTGGTGTATACAATGGGACACTCTAGCAGTTAAATAAATGAACTAAATTCACATACATCAACATGAATAAAATTTGCAGCCTAATGGTGAGTCTCTGTTAGTAGCAAAGGTAAGGCACATGAGAGTCACATTCATTACACCTGGGAATTGCCTTTCAAAACAGATCTGGTTTACGTCTACAAGCATAATTTTTTAATGTGATAATAAAGTGGTCCAGGGTGAATGTAGAGCCTCCAGTTGAGGGAGGTGCAGAGGGGAAATGAAAGGAGGCTGCTGGAGAAAGGACAAGGCACTCACTTCCATCCCCACCTGCTTGTTGAACAGGATTCCCTTCTGTTCTTATAGAACAAAGGCAGCTGTACAGATCTCCACCCAATACAGGACCCCCCCCTG